CCATATCCTGACCGATCTCAAGATTACAAGTTTCTTCCCCTACAAAACGATTGTACATAATTAGTATGACGATAGATCCACAAAAATCTACTGAGATTTTTACCTCCACGTGTCCAGCGAGTTTACAGGTCCACCGAAATGGGCAGCGTTCATCTGGCAAATATAATATACAAGATATAGCCAGAATGCTATTCGCCCACAAGTTGGCTGAAATTAAATAATACACGCGTAAGTCGAGATTGATACAAAAGTCGACTTATTAAACTCACGCGTAAGTTTCGTCCAATAGAGATATTGCCGTAATGTTGAACAGCTATCCAAAACTTGGATGACCACAGTGTTATATATTTCACCCTTGATAATATCACCGTTGCCGGTAGCTTGATAAATAGAAATTTGCCAACTAATGGCAGGACGTGGATGTTGTAAATAATAGGAAAGGTCTTCGTATGAACCGAAACTGTCTCCCTCAATTTTTGGGATTATTGTAAACCATTATCTAGAGGCAGATTATACAAGTCAGTTATTGATAATACAAATAAATTCGCCCGCTTTCATTGCTTACCCGTCGGGTATCCATTTTGGCGAAACCGAAACCAGTCCTACAATACACCTCCTCGCTAACTGTCCCATACAGAAAATCAAATTTTGATTCATAATTTCAAACCCATTGTTTGAAAACAGGATATACGCATGTCAGCAGGAATACCACTCTTTGAGCGAAAGTCCCGTTGTTGATTTGGTGTGACTTAGTCAAGACGCTTAACAAACATCAACCGCAGGGTAAGTTTCCATCTCATTCGTAAGCATATTAGATGCTTAACATCAATGACACGCTCCAGTTGATAGAACGTAATTCGAACAAAAGTTTCTTGTAAGATAGTGTCGTCACAACGTAACGGTATCAGGAATACGATGTGCTGAGAAATACTAATGTCGACCTACGAATTGCCGAGGTGGACATATCTCTTCTCAAATTCCGCTCTCTTATGTCCTCACTACCTCATAGCAACTCTTCATCAAAATCATACTTGTTATGTCTATTAGGGCGTTGCCAATTCTCTTGGCGGTGTCAATATTCCGCCAAACACTCAAACAGTTGTAAATTATACGACACCCTTTTTAAACAAAAACATCTATTCCACATGCTGATATAGACGAACCATTTCAGGATAATATCGCAGGGTACTATTTTATTCGAGATAGTCAATGGTTCGGTGATCATAAATAAAATATAATAACATGTGAGCAAAACATCATACAATAGAAGTACTGTATAAGAAACACCTGTAACATCTCACTTTAAAGTTGGAATTGCATCTAGGATATGCCAAGGCCATATAGGCACAACTTTCGACATAACATTGCTCATATATGTGAGTATACTGTATGTTGATGTATGACGGAATAAGAATATAATAATGGCAATTAATAATTTATAATAATAACAACTAATATTTAACATATTTAACATCAACCTGTTAATAAATACCAACTATAATCTCAGTTATATCAACTTCCAATATCCTCCGGTCTTCACGCAGGCATGCACCACATTAATTTGATCTCTGGACTATATGAAGCAACACGCTCCAGTAACTGAATAGGAATACAAATTAGTATTAATATAACATCAACACTTCAGTGGCCATGTAAATTTTCTGCCTTACTTTAATAAACGCACCCGTTTCGGCCATAGCCACCGCAACTCCATTAGCAGAACAAAAATTAATGCCATCCAAATTGCAATATTCTCCTGAAGGAATTCGCATGCTTTCCGATATGCTCCTTCTTGTCCCTCACTGTTTTTAACCCAAAAGTCCCAATACTATCAATGTGCACATGTAATGTTGTCGCACATAGACGAAGAGCTTCTCAAATTGGTGTCAGGCTGCTCGATTTTACAAAATATCTATAGTAATGTTGTTGCGTGGCGAGTGTAGCCAATCGTATTCATGCCTCGATGTCGGTTTTAAGGTCAGAATAATCTCTTTGTAAATTTCCTACGGTAGTTGCGACCCTTCTCTTCGAGAACACGTAACGTAGGCGGGCCCGGATTCATAAGACAAGATGCAATCTCTTATTGTTCTGATCTTCGACTTGTTAAGTTGGTAGTTTGTGCCTGAACGAAGAGATATTATCCAGAGTTTTTCTAACTTTGCCGTTAGTTTTCCTCAAGTAATACGGGGAACATCGTGTCTTATGACGAACTTGAAATTGTGGTTCCAAATCAGTCGAAATATCGACTGCATTGTATTTAGACTTTACATGGAAGCATATTCTGCTACGGAATAGAATCTGAGGTTGAGAAGTTGATGAAGCAGGTAAATTTGAAAATTGATAATTGCTTGACATACCCATCAAGCTTTTCACATCTCTCAGGCATTTGAGAAGTTGATGAAGCAGGTAAATTTGAAAATTGATAATTGCTTGACATACCCATCAAGCTTTTCACATCTCTCAGGCATTTGAGAAGTTGATGAAGCAGGTAAATTTGAAAATTGATAATTGCTTGACATACCCATCAAGCTTTTCACATCTCTCAGGCATTTGAGAAGTTGATGAAGCAGGTAAATTTGAAAATTGATAATTGCTTGACATACCCATCAAGCTTTTCACATCTCTCA